CTCTCTCTCTCTCATATAGAAATTAATTAATGTAAACTTTCGTGGATCTATTATAGATAGTACATAATATTCTTATGTCAAATTGCTAAAGAGGCCATGCATAACTACTTGTTACTTCATGTGTTACAACATTTCAGGAATTGGCGGAGTTTTTAAATTTGTGCTCTCCAATTTTTGGGACGATATCGCGTGTGCCGGTATGCTGTTGGCGCAGCAGCTGGACTGTGGAAGTCTCACCCCAGGGAACTGTAAAAAGTAAGTGAGGATTTTCACGTTCTACCACGACCCGCTGGCAGACCACGGGTTTAGCTTCTGAGCTACATGTAGCCAGCATTCATTTTTCATTCTCGTCCCTTTAATTAGACGGTACGGAAGTAGAGTGCAGGACCATGCATTGATTCGTGAAATGGTGCAAATATTTTTCTCTAGAAATAGCAATAGCGCGAACATCTCGCGAACATTAACTTGCATTTAAAAATCTCCTGAATATTCGTTTTTTTTTTCACAATTTACACTTATCTATCGTAGGCTAGATGAGCTAGATGCCAAGAGAGCTCAGATCACCGCCAAGGTCAACGCGACATTAGAGCGCGAGGTCTACTGGTCCGTGCTAAACTATACCAACGACGAAGCCATTGATTACATCAGCAAGATCAGCAAGGAGCTCGAAGTCATCGCAAGCTCGAACATTCGGCTCATGGAGATTCTGCGAACCATCAGCGTCGTCGAGGAGAATGAGACGGTATACGTTCCCGATAATAATGACGAAGTAGTTGAGCAGCAGATACGATTCAGGGCAAACCTCACAGAGTTCATAAACGGCATGAGGGCCACGACAGAGGAACTGGAATCGGAAATCGCCGATTATTATAAGAAAGATTTTGCTATGCTTGCAATGATGACCTTGATTCCCATCCTGGCTATGCACACAGGTTTGATCACGACTACGGCAAGAACATGGGCGCTTAGCCAGTCTCAGAATTACCAAGTCGTAGAATTAGTCGGGGCAAGAGGCTCGTATCAACTCGCGTATGATAAAAATGGGAAAATGTTCATCGTCCAACAGGAGCCAGGCAATCTAGGAAAACTGAAAGTCTACGCCAAGCTCAGCGAAACTGGTAAGGTTGGGTCATTTTGGAAGTTCATGATGCCAGCGGGCCAGAGTGCGGCTACGAAGTCCTTTTTGGAATCCGTTGACTACAATCGGGCTAAACAAGTAGCCAGTTTGATGAGGCTGGAACCTGACTACCTGCAGAAACTGAAGTCGACGGGCCATCTCCCGGCTTTTCTGCGATCAACCGACGGACTGACCACACAGCAGTTTGACGAGTTTGTCGAAACCGCTAAAACCAAAGACCCGAAGGTGATGTTTAGCGCCGAGTTTGCGGACACAACCATGCCAAAATGGATGAGTCAAACATTAAGCATTTTCGACCCAAGTGATATAGCGGCTGTGGACGCGTACAACAAGCTGAAAGCGGCTAACCCAGACCTACTGGCAGATCTGGAGAAAAAAGGGAAACTTGGTGAGTTATGTTATCACATGCAAAAACAGATGGCATTTTTCTCTTTTTTCTTTGTTTATTTATTTCTATCCGTCTGAGACAGTTTTCATAATTTTTCTTTGAATTTGTTCTGAGAAGCAATCTCTGTCTATTGTTAATTTTTTGGTCTGAATCCCATTAATAAGGTTCTTTTGGTGCTTATTTTGCTCATAAATGGACCACATTTGGTCGTTCTGAAAAACTAATCCACAACGTCAAGATTTGAAGAAACGTGCCCTCTGCTTTAATTTTCAAATCCCTTGGACGTTTACAGTTCACTTCTTTATGGGACAGCTCGCGAAAATATTTGACCGAAACATCATATTTTACATCGGGCCTAACGAACATTAACTTGCATTTCTCTCTCTCTCTCTCTCATTGGCATTAACAGTTTGCTTTCTGATGCAGGCGCCTTTATCTCGCAGTCCAAAGGTCTGGTAGGTGACGATTTCAACGAATACATGAATAAAGTCAAGCAAGCAAACCTTGAAGTTGATGGCCTGAAGAATTTCGACTTCGATGCACCCGCCAAAAGTGTGAAATCGTTTAGCTGGGAGAAAATTAAGTCTGGCTGGGCGTCCATTGCGAACAAACAACTGTTTGATTTCCAAGGAAGGAAGGTAATTGCTCTCGCTAACCTTACTAGGAATGACTGTATCCGCAATTTAAAGATATACGTCAGAGCTTCCTATTGCCCCAAAGGTTTTGAATAATGAATCTTTCGTGTTCATGATCAATGACAGTGCAAGAAGTAGGCCCCTTCATTGCATAATAATAAAAAACTGCCTGACGTAGTCTACTGCCGTATCACACCTACGCGTATGAATACAATTTTAAATAATTACTTAATTCCCTGATCAGTGTGCCCCCCCCCCCCCCATCCCCCACACCCACACCCACCCCAGTACTCACGGAGTGAAAGGATAGAAAATGGCGACTCTCTTTGATAACATTTCGTGTTTAAATGCAGATGAGTGATACAAACTCAAGCTTTAAATCACGTGGTTAACAACCAATGGTTGCTCCCCCGTCGGTCTTTAGAATATAGTGGCATATATCATTATTGTAATTTCTTGGAAGGTCATATTATTATTAATTATCTAGAATCAGTAAATGTTATTATTGTTAATACGTACAGGAAATAGCTGTTTTTTAATCAAATATTTGACATACATTTTTTTCAGTTGTGATATATATGCCAAAAATGTGGATACATTTTAATCCATTTTTCTATTTCAAAAGTTTAAAAAGTCAAAACTTTCTTTAAATCATACTAAAATGAGGATGTTTTTCTTTCAGATCAAAGTCAGTACCTTTGTTAATATGGCCAACATCGGTTCTTTGCTCAACGTCGGGCTGTGCATATACATTGCCGCAGAAAGCAGCATTACAGTGGACGAACAAGTCGAAGAAATCGAAAGGCGCGTCAACAAAGCCTCCGACGAGATCGATGAAAAGATGGCCGAATTGGAAGTCCTGATAACCGACGAAGAGAATTACTTTGATACAGTGAAAAATAACTTCTATGATATCGTCAGCATGTTTGATGTGAGCGAGGACTCCACCGGAATCGCCGCCGACCCGGACTGCCAAGATTCCCTCTGCATTTTCTTAAGAGACGCTGCCGAGTTGAACCCAATAAAGAACTACATCGCCGCTTGGCCGAACGCTTCCATCACCAACGAGACCATTTTGCACGCCCAGGCCTACTTCCTGGGTAACCTCACGGAATCCAAGTACCAAATGGTCCAGCTATACCGAGTGGCCGAGATGGTGGCACAAGTCATGATCTGGGTCCAAAGCGACGAATCCATTGACCAGATGATGGCAAACGCCGTCACGCTTTCCAAACCATTCGACTCCAAATACGACCTACTCCGCCTCATTGCCCTGGCGTTCCCCGATAGAGACGAGTACACTGGGTATCCCCTGAAGTGCATCCGCAGCGGAAGCATAACTAGCGAAGCGGAGCTAGATACGTGGATGACCAGTAACCAGGTTAAGACGATAGACCCCGACGTCACCGACTACATTTCATCAGGAGTTGATTTTGACCAATCTGTTAGCTCTATTGTAGGGAAGTTGGTCACTAAGTATCCAACGGGTTGTGGCGGTGGGGAATGCACCACTGAAGACGTTCTTAAGGAAATCGCCGTCAATGTCCTTCCCAGTGCCGACATATACGACGGCGTCGATCTTGCTCCTTACAGAGTCGTTACGATCACCTGTCCTGCGGAAACTACCACTACAACTACAACCACCACGCCACCAAGTCCAACAATATCCGAAGAGCTACTGCAACGCATTAGAGACATGTTCAAAAATATAAGGCTTCCAACGTTCCCGAGTTTTTCTTGGGGTCGAAAATAATTCGATAGATGTCAAACATCTTTTAGAATAAGACCTACGTATTTGTATACAAAGAGCTTACATATTACAAACATGTCAAGTTCATCATGCGCTGACGTTTAGGCATTTGATACAGATTGTTCAAATTTGCCAGTTTTTGCTTCAAATTATGTGTTGTACTAGGCCGCCACACTTAGCGACCGACAATACTCATTCTGAATGATTTTTGTAACTTTTGCGATAAATAAAATGTAAAATACAGTATACGTTGTTATTTGTCAATGAAAATGTAAAATCTACATTATATTAAAAATTATAAATCCATTTTGCAGTTGGCTTTTTTTTTTAAATTTTAAATTAGGTAAAAGTTGTTGTCGCGATTTCAATAATATGTTGCTATAATGAGACCAAAGAATTTTCAAATAAACAGCCAAAAATCATTATTGTTACTTTTGTTCAATCTCAGTGTATTTTAAACCTTTAACTGCCATGGCCTCTGGGCTTTTATTTATTTATTTATTTATTTATTTATTTATTTTAATTTTTTTTTTAGCATAATGGTCATCTGTCGGGGAAGATAAAGACGCGAATTTTTTTTCCAAACAATACCCCAGTGAACGCTTCAAGATTTAGTTGAATCAACGTGTGTCGCTCGCCGTCTACCTAAATTTATCAAAAAGACTCTGATATATTCTTAATATTACAAGACGCTGATGAAGACGACGAGATACAAAACCCATGCTCTGCAGCGGGTAAGGGATCTTTTTTGTGATAATTGAATGAATTTCGTTGATTGTGCCATGCTATGTTGGCGGAATTTGAGCATAGAATTGACGCCATCGCGGTCCCTGGATAGTTAGTAACTTCCCATAGGACTGCGTGTTATTTTTCGACACCTGTCTCCCTCTGTCGAGCTGCTACCCATAAGTTATAACGAGGTCACTTTTTTGCATAATGTTCCAAACATACAGACTTTATTGAATAATTGACAGACTTTATCTAATCACTCTATCACCGCCTAAAATCTGATCGTTTGTTACTTAGTCCGCACCCGACAATTTCTGAGAAAACCATCTAAATGTATCCGCACCTTTTTCGGTAATGTTGTTAACAGACAGACAGACAAACAGACAGACAGACAGACTAAATATTTTAATTTGAAATTAATAAAAAGCAGGCTGAGATGGGGTATTACGGTATGCAAATTGCACTGAGCTGGATAAATGAAATACGTCAAACAAAAAAGAGGAAGGAAATATACCTGATATGTTATACATGTACAGGTGTCGCGATAATGTTTCGCCCCCTTCCATTTATTATAATGAATAATTTATAACTTTATACCCTATCCCCATGGCTGAGACTTTTACCTTGTAATAAGCCTTGTCACGAATATGCCAATGAGTAGCGTCTTAAAAATACCTTCCGGTGACGTCAACAGTGACGTCACTCCTGCACCAGCCAGAAACTCATTTCACAACATAATATATCATCTTTGCACGCTGCACGAAAAAGAACAACATTTCGTTGGTGCATCTGCCCTTGCGTTTTCGAAAGTACCAATATGTGCTGTATCCGACATTAATTAGATTAACGTCTACTTCTCTTTACTGTCCACCTGTAAAAGAGTGGCCCCTTTGTACTTTTGTCATATTTACACGTATTAAACTTTTTTTAATTTCAAAACCATTGTTTGACTCATCAGACTATATCATCAGATTAACGTTGGGCAAATGATAAGTTATAAATTTATAAATTATTTCAAAAAAAACTTTCTGTTGTGACTTAAAAAGCAATACTTCGGTTAAACCAACATTTCACTTATTAATAGGCCTATAAGTTATTTCGTGAATTTGGATCTGAGCTTTTGATCTGAATGCAAACATTACATAAATAGCGCGAAACAGAAAGGATGGTCACTAAACTTTTGTAATACCGGTATGCATAATTAGTAACTTCTAGGATCAAGAGCACCCGTGGAAGCTCAATGGTCAGTGGTCGAATTCTGCATCGGAATTCACCAAAAGTCAAGCTAAACCACACCGTGCATCTGCAAGGTACGTAAAACTTGGACGCTATGTTCAATGCGTCCTAGCTTAGAGCAAATATCGTAAACATGGCTTTTGCAGTATCTCACGAACAGACCATGGAAGTGTATGTGTAGATATACTTCCATACTCAGACCAAAAATAACTGTACATGTATTTAATCTAAATGGACTGCTATGGGCGTATCTTGAGCCGGAAGAGAGCCAATCTTTGGTCGAATAGTTTAAACCAGTTTCTGGGTTAGAGTTCTGTAGTAAAAACCAGGTCTTGTTGTTCTGCTTCCTCTTTTCCTGTATTTATCACTTGTTATTCTTCCGTTAACGAAAGCGAGCCACTAATGGTCAGAAAACCACATCATGGGCTTCGCACATCCGTTTACATTATTAACTGTCATTTGACGCTCATGCTAATTATAACTGCAACCAGGATATGAGTAAAACTCCAAATCCCATCGTATATAAATTTGTATTGCAAGCAATCCAGATATTTGACTAGGAGCAGCATCCAAAGTACAGTGGATCCGGTTTGATAGAATTCCAATATTCAGCGGCGAGGAATCGGTTGGTCCTTGGAGAAAAATACAAGGTTTGTTACGAACAACCATTGGTTGCGTATGTTTCTTATTGTAAGTGTATTGGTTTGTTCGATACATGCATATGAAAGTTCCCGTGAGTGTTTGCGTGTTTGCATATTGTAATAACCAGTCGGTGGTTATACACTTGTTCTAAGAGTTACATTTTCACCAGTAAGTCAACTGAGACAGGCAGGAATAGTTTTCTGTTACATGGTTTATTCAAGCGCCTGAAGACTCAGGTATCTTCTACCGTATCTATAACTATCTCTAACTCTCTCAGTCTGTCAGTCCATATGTCTCTGTGGCTCAGTCACTGCCTTTATACTCTATCTTAATTTGCATTTCAAATTAGCTTTCATAACTGTCATGAAACATGCCATGCCTATGTACATTAACTTAATTGTAGATACATTTAAATTAAATCTTAATTTGCATTTTAAATGAACTTCTCTTAAACTGCCATGCAACATGTCATGTCTAAGTATATTTGAATAATTAAAACGTACAAATATATACATATCTGATGTATGCAAATTTAGAAGATTCAGTTCTAATTAACGGATCACTACACATATATCTCCCTTTTTTACCGAAAAAAAAATTAAGAAACTTAATTTTTTTTTAAAACCTATTTCACTGACACCTGTTTATACACTGTAATTAACAGAATGTTAAGCTATAATACAAAGTACATGATTATCTTCTAATCAAATTTAACCAATTTTTAACAATTTAAACAATAAAAAAACAACTATAGCTTTACATATATAAGCATTTAAGGACTTTTATACATACTTTAGCTTTGCATAGACATACACACATTTAAAAATAAAAATCTTACTGCCTTACATCTTTTACTTAAATCAGTCAATAGATAGTACACGTTTCACAACATAAAAACTGGTGCATGCATTTTAAAAAAATTGGATGCAAATAAAGGAAAGTGCCACATACAAAAATTAACAGAAAATTTCATGAAAATCAATCTTAGGCCAATATCCTAGCCTTATTGAAAAAAATTCCAGAGAAGTTGATACCTCCATTTTATTTTATACATTGAATAAAAGAAAAAATAATTATTAAAAATTACTCATGGACAACTTACTTATTAGAAAAATACCTTATTTTGCAATGAGGTGGGTACCTCCATTTCTCTATACCTTTCAAGTGAGGTTTTTCAGTACTTTCTAAAACATCAAACAAGTCATTCGTTTTCTTCCCTTGTTTTTCATTTCTGTCTTTATCCTTGTAATAAGCAGGTATATTCAAATTCACCATATCATTGTCCCTTTCCTCAGTACGCAGATCATTCTCTTCCTTCACTTGTTCGTCATTTTCTTCGTTGTCTTCATGGTAACACTCATTTTCAATCAGTTTGGTCTTATTGGTGGCCATTTCTTCAACGCGCAGCATTTCGACATCAGGGGTTTTCATCATCTTCTCACAGGGAAACTTCATCATCTTATCATCAGTAGACTTCAACAGTTCAGCATCACTGAGCGACAACCTCTCTTCATCAGGGAACAGGAACATTTCTGCATCAGGGGAATTTAATACATCAGAAATTGAATCTTAATTTGCATTTTAAATGAACTTCTCTTAAACTGCCATGCAACATGTCATGTCTAAGTATATTTGAATAATTAAAACGTACAAATATATACATATCTGATGTATGCAAATTTAGAAGATTCAGTTCTAATTAACGGATCACTACACCTCCCTCCTCCCCCATTGATAGAATCTGGTTT